ATGGACTGGTTGGACCCAAGGGTTTGTTTCTGTGCTCTATGACTCTATGACTGTATAAGATGCTGCTGTAGTCACAGTGAAAGAGGAAGTAGTTGTGACACTGAACAGGTTAAAAATTAATAATGAGGAATTAATAGCAACCCTGGCTGTACTTAAAATGAGAACTCACCAGGACCAGATGGGACGTTTCTGCGGATGCTGAAAGAAGCAAGGGGGAAAATTAAGGAGGTACTGACTGTGGTCTTTCAATACACATTCTGTTTAGGGGTAGCGCCTGAGTTTTACAGAATTGCAGATGTTACAGGCTTGCTTAAACAAAAGTGAATAGGGATCAGCATAGCAACTATAGATCAATTTAACCTCGGTGTTTGGAAAGCTTTTAGAAACAATAATCTGTAACAAAATTAGAAGTCACTTGGACAAGTAAAATTTGATTAGAGAAAGCTAGTCCTGTTCTTTCTTTTTTAATGCAAAAATATATTCATGAAAATTATCCTTATGTACATTCAGGTACTAAAGCAGTTCTGTACAATCTTTGCGTATCAAGCAAAACTGGAATTTGACATTCCTTACAGTTACAAAAACCAAAGAATTTCTTACTTGCAGAACGCTTTTTACGTACATTGAGGCAATGAACAGACCTTCAATATACTTTGGCAGAAAGATCTTAGACAGAGGTCTTTCCCCACTGTGCTTTGGTGGAGCTGACCCAAGCTTTAGTGTATCTCTCAGCATGTAGCCTTGAACCTTGGAACCTGCCAGTCTTCAACACTGAGTTGAGGTCAACTCTTTACACTCGAAGACCAATAAGTTTCAAGCAGACCAAACAGCATCTTTGTCCAAAGAAGAAACGTGAGCACGTGTCATCCTGCTCCACAGTGTGGACTCTGGGCTGGAAGATTACTTTAGAACCCTGCTGGCTCCTCACCTCCTGGAGATCCTCCTTGACACTGACCTCCAATGTCTTCAGCAGGAGTAGGTTCTGCATTGCGTTTCTGGAGTTTTGGCAATTTTATCTGCCTCTCTCTCTGAACACCTTTGAGGATGGAGAACCTCTTGACTGTTTCCCAACAGTCTGCTGGAGACTCAAAGTGGGGTTTCCCAGTTCCCTAATCTTTGTAGTCCCTTTTGAGTTCCTCAATGTTTTGTGGGGTGACAAGTTTCTCATTCAGCTTCCACGTTTCCTTGCTGGCCTGCTGCTCATCCTGAGGAAGCAGTGGTCAGAGAATAACACTGGCTTGACACAGTGCATCTGACCGAGAATGCTTGGAACACAAACAGGATATCTATCCTTGAGCGGATAGACCCATCTAGCCATGACCAGGTGTATCTATGCTGTGTTCTGTCTGCAGGGCTACTGAAGACATTGTGCAGCTTGGTAACTTTAACCGTTCCCATCAGGAGGCTGGACGTGATGTCCGATTTGCTATCAGCCCCACTAAGTGTCCAGCCACATTGATGATGTAGTTGAAATCACCGGCCTGGACGTCACCAGCAGCAGTGGGTGCTGCTGTAGGATGGCTAGATGCTCACTCGTGTACACCCCAGCGGTAAAGTTAACTAGTCTTAGGTAAGCATTTCTGTACATAATGTCTGCTACGAGGAGGTGCCTGCCCACCACCTCCTTAACCTTGGAGATGGTGAAGTTGCCTTCTCACAGCAGAATATCCCAGCTGGAGGAATGGCAATCATTACCCCCAACCAAATCAAAGACCTGTGGGCCACAAGCTTGACCATTACCTGCAGCTGCTAAAGTGCAGTATCCCATACTCCCGCAGAAACAGCAGATCTGCTTTGATGTTGGCCAGGTAAGCAAATGTGGAGACATATTGAGCAGTGGCTTTTATGCTACGCACATTTATGCTTGCAATTTTCAAACCCATGTTAAGATTTTTGTAGATCATTGAACTGTCCAATAAAAATTTAAAGTTGATCTTATGATTGGGCAAATTCCTGCATCCTCGTGGTATAGGCAAACTGTTGCACCTTCACAGGGCTGAGGCAGCTGTCTTGTTTCTCTCTGGGGGCATTGTCTCGATCAGGTGTCATGGGGTGGATGCGAAGCCAGGAAGGTCCAGTTTCATGTCGTGCTCCAAAGTACCGGGTGGGGGATCCGTTCAGTTATAAGGCCCTCTTTGCGTCTCAAATGTACACAAGTATGTATAAGTAACACATGCCTTAAATTTTTTTGCAACTGCAGGGAATGCCAAATTCCAATGCTCGCTTGTTATTCATGTGCAAAGACCGTACAGAAATGCTTCAGAAACTACATGTTCTCAAAGTTTTTTTATCTTTGCCTTAAAAAATGATCAATCAGAAAAACAAAGTGAGGGGATCCTTCTCTGACCTGTCTGTGGAACCACTGTTTGTCCTCTCTGTGCAGAAGAGCTGGATTGTTACAACCCATAAGTATAACACACACGTCCCAGCAGCTGATGTCCTGACTTTCCTGGGAAGGTACATTCAGCTTGAAAGGAGGCAGCACTGATGTAGTTGACCACTTCAGAACCTGGATCAGTAAGCAGCAGGTCAAGATGACCCTGAACGTAAATGCCAATAGGAACATCCTCCACCTGCCCTTCATCTTCGCGACTGAAGGGAGCTGAGGTTACCTGACGTATGAAGGGCAGCCTAGAATGTGTCAAACCTACAGGAGGTCGGGGCACATGGCAACAGACTGCAAAATGACCCTCTACAGGAACTGCAAACAGGAGGGGCACCTGACCAAGGACAGCAAAGAATCCAATAGCTGCAACCTGTGTGAGGAAGCAGGCTACCTGTACAAGGGCTGTCCAAGACTGGGGACAGGGGCAAAAATGCACAAATGGCCAAAAGTTGCAACACAGTAGACCCCAAAAGGACAGTAAGGCGTCACCCTGAGTGGGAATGTTGGGATTCCCTGACTCATGCTCTGGGGAAACAATTCAAAACCCACATGTAACTAGCAGCTTCAATGAAGTTCTTTTAGACTGCTCATTCCCTCAGTTCTGTGTCCACCCTTATTTCATGGCACAGGCTTGAAGTTCTGACAGTTGTTCAATGGTACAACTTGTCAACATTTATCCTGGCTTGCATACACTAGGCCAATCCAGACATTAAACAAAAATGTATCTGTATTCATTCTCCTTGTTCTAAGCAGCTGGATTAAATGCCAATTTACAGCAAAATTGTCACTTGCATAAATTTAATCTACAATAGTTCTATAGCATGGAACTCCTCTATTTCCTGTTAACCATAATTGCTCGATTATGATAAGATCACATCATCACCCTGCACATTTATATCAGCTATATTATGATTGAATTTGGGATTTGATGATGGTACATCTTAATGCTTTAAGATTTGCAGTTTAATAATATTCTGAATTGCCAAGATAACTACTTCACATCTGTTCAAATGGAAGAATTTAAACTAAATCAAACATGCCTCAATGTTATGGAGCACATCAACAATCTCATCAGAATCAGCTGTGCCAATATTAAAATATTAATTCTTCCAAAATCCTTGTCATTATGTTTCAATCAACTATCAAAATATGTCAGCTGAAGGAATGCAAACCCTGTGGCCAGCAGTGTGCTGCAAAGATCAATGCTGGGTCTACTGTTTTTTGTCATTTATATAAATGATTTACACGTGAATATAGGAGGTGTGAATAGTTAGCTTGCAAATGACACCAAAATTGGTGGTGCAGTGGATGGAAATGATGGCTACCTCGGAGTACAACGGGACAGATGGGCAAATGGGCCAAGGAGTGACAGATGGAGTTTAATTTAGATAAATGTGAGGTGCTGCACTTTGGTAAGGCATATCAGGGCAGGACTTATACACTTAACAATAAGGTCCTGGGGAGTGCTGCCAAACAAAGACACTTTGGGATACAGGTTCATAGTTCTTTGAAAGTGGAGTCGCAGGTAGACGGAGTAGCGAAGGCGGCATTTGGTACGCTTGCTTTTGTTGGTCAGTGCTTTGAGTAGAGGAGCCAGGAGGTCATGATGCATTTGCACAGGACATTGGTTAGGCCACTTTTGGAATACTACATTCAACTCTGAATATTGTGAAACTTGAAAGGGTCCAGAAAAGGTTTAAGGATATTGCTAGGGTTGGAGAGTTTGAGCTGTAGGGAAATAGGCTGGGGCTTGATTTTCCTCTGGAGTGTTGGAGGCTGAGGGGTAGCCTTATGGAGGCTGATAAAATCATAAGGGGTAATGGATGGGATGAATAGACAAGGTCTTTTCCTCTGGGTAGGGGTGTCCAAAAGTACAGGGCATAGTTTTGAGGTGAGAGGTAAGATTTAAAAGGGACCTAAGGGGCCACTTTTTCACACTGAGGGCGGTGTGTGAATGGAATGAACTGCCAGAATAATTGTGGAGGCTAGTGCAATTACAACAGTTAAAAGGTATCCGCATGGGTACACAAATAGGAAGGGTTTAGAGCGATATGGGCCAAATAGTACTAGATTAATGTAGAATATCTAGTTGGCATGGACAAGTTGAACCAAAGGGTCTGTTTGCATGCTGTACTGAATGCTTCTTCAGTTGGATCTTATTGTCACCTGCTTCAGGGAGACTATGATTTAGTAAAATCTAATGAAGGTCTCATTGTAAAAGCAAGTTGAGGAGAAAGAAAATTGAAATATAACTTGTGACATATTGATCCATTGGTTGTACGTGATCACAGTCCCGGAGAGGTACAGAACAACATAATAAGCATTAAAAAAAAATCAATCCCCATTTTGGCCAATACACTGATGCAGTAATTGGTTCCCAATTCGTTCCTTTCCCTTAAGCCAAGAGTAATGCCCACAACTACTACAGCACAGCTTTGCCCCGCGCAGGTTCTGAATGTTAAAGCATTTGATTCCAACAGTTGAAGTTCCCATCACTTCATCCCTTAGTAACAGCTTCTTCGAAATAACTGCTCATATACTAATTCCGCCGGCACCCTTATCCCCACCCCCATCCGGTATCTTCCCAACTCTACCTTCCCATCCCCTCACTCACCTCACCTTCTGCCGCCGCAACAACGCCTAGCGCCAACCTAACCATGGAGAGCCAGCCCCGCCCATACCCACCAATCCACGCTTCAGCCACCCACTGACCCCCGCCTTTCACCTGCTATTGGCCAATCTCAGCAGTCACTCAAATGGCAATGACGCCACAAAGTGAAATCAGAATGATCCCTACATATGTCTGTCCCTTTTCAGCCCGTCTCAGTGTCCCCCCAATTACTGCCCGGCCCGCTGTCCGTCTCCTCGTAATCTCCCGCTCCAGCCGAAGTTCGTCTCTTCCTCTCTTAAAAAAAAACCGTCCCACTGTGTCCCTCCGGTGTATGTTCATCACCGCCGCTGCCGTGTTAGCTGATAAGATGTAGGCTCTTGAAGAGCTAGGGCCTGTGCTAAAAGAAACTGCTAGCTTTCCCACCTCCTCCATATTCTTATGAAGAAATATAGCCATTAAACTGCATTTTATAATGGCTAACCTTCCTCTATTAAAATGGCTTGACAGAACTCAGTATTTTAACATAACAGTACCTTGGTCAGAGTTTAATTTAGATATTTAGACAATCGTAAATGTTGCATTTTGGTAGAGCAAATCAGGGCACTATAGAGTTAGTGGTATAGCCCTGAGGAATATTGCCAAACAGGGACCTTGGGGTGCAGGTTCATAGTTCATTGAAGGCGGAGTCACAGGTAGACAATTGCGTTTATTGGTCAGTGCAGTGAATATAGGTGTTGGGATGTCATGGGGCAGCCGCACAAGCTGTTGGTTAGTCCACTTTTAGAATCGTGTGTTGAACAAACTCTCTCTGCTACAGGGAAGATGTTACACTTGAAAGGGTTCAGAAAAGATTTACAAGGATGTTGCTAGGGTTATTCTCCCTGGAGTGTTGGAAGAAGGGATGACCTTATAGAGGTTTAAAAGATTGAGGGTATGGAGGGGGGAGTCCAAAACCAGAGGATATAGGTTTAAGGAGAAAGGGGAAAAGATACAAAAGGGATCTAAGAGACAACTTTTTCCACATAGAGTCTGGTAGATGTATGAAACAGCTGCCAGATGTATGAAACAGCTGCCAGAAGAAGTGATGGAGGCTGGTATAATTACAATATATGGGGAAGGGTTTAGGTGGATATGCAGCTGGGTTTAGATAAATTTAGGATAGCTGGTCAGCACAGACAAGTTGGACAACAGGGTCTGGCTCACTGATGTACAACTAACTTTAAATTAACCATTAGGTCCTGAAAAACGATGATGGCACTTTCTGACGAAACAAAACAGTCACAACTTCTGAACCCTACACATCTGTAAAGATGACAGTTCCATTCACAAAAGAACTCACTGACTGATTACATATACAAGGTCAGTGAGAAACAAGAAATTCCACTTTTATTTTAACTATCAGTTAGACTCCAATACATTTATAACCATCAACCCTGATATTTTCAGATCAGGTCTCAAAATACATGTGGCTTTGAGGGCAGCTTTGCACAGGAAAATGCAAAACATGTCTCTTGGCCAGTGATATCCCCCACTGATAAATAAACTATTAACGTATTGTTAATTTGAATAAGATTACAGCTATTTAAAGTTCAATACTAAAAATATTCCATTCCACAAGTCAGGCTCAATTCCAGAACCTGTAGGGAATTTGCTTTATGAAAGATTATATACATACACCAAGAAATCAATTAACTACTTTAACCAATTTACCTTTACTACAATGACACTGCATATAGTAAAGACTGTACATTTAATTGACAATTAAATACAGATGTAGGTTTTTTCAAAGTTACATACCTGCAAACATTTAAATATTCACAGAGAGATACTCTGAACGTTTCTTCATGAGTAAGGCAAGTGTGGTTGTACAAATGTTCATAGAATGTAAGTAATACCTGTTGTTTTTAGTTAGTTTCCTGAACATCAGAATACTTCCAAATTTATAGTTCCTAATGGATCAAAGCAGATTTTTTGGGTCTGGTGAAGAGTTCATAAATAGCATGCATGCCAATATTCTTAATATGCAATAGTCTTGAGAGTTGAGACATATAGGAAACGTTAAATCTGAGGTGGTGCATAGTTGTCAATATTACATATCTGAATGATAGAAAACAGAATACATTCAACATTCATGACATTGCAATCAGTTTCACTAGACAAAATTTCAAGATTGTAGATTTCATAACTTGAAACTCAGTGACCATACATATTTTTCACATCCATTTTAAAATATTTGGATCACAAAGCAGTCATTTCTTTTTACAAAAATATAACTGAATTTCATTTACAATTAAAATGTAAACCAAAATGAAGTTCATTTCAAATAAAAATGCACACAAGTCAACATAATCACAAGTTTTTAAAAACACTTTTAGTTTAGGTACCTGCTAGTTTTCCAGGGCCTAATGCCCATCAAGTCTTAATTTTAAGTTGAAAATTACAAGATCTCTATTTTTTTCAAAATAGTCCCTGAAAGATTTTCCTGCAAAATATCTTGTTGCATCATAGTTCGTTTTCACAGCTTGCCTATATATTAATTTTAGCAGTGATTCATTCTTTTGTTACTTAACTGCCAAATCTATCAATAGCTTCAGCGTCAGCGTATAAAAATGCACAGGAGGTTTCTATTTAATCATGCAGGATTCATTTAGTGAAGTAAAATTTCCAGTCTGCGACTTCATAGTTTGTTAACTAGGTGCTGAGATTCTCCCAGTCCAAACAAAATCATACTCTCAAAAAAAAAAAGACAGTATAATAAACTAAGCATTTCAAAATGAAATTGAACACTATGAACAGAGATCTATTTCCTCTGCATCTACTGCTGGATACAATATTGTGGAGTATTTAATTTAATCCAGTTAGAAGTGTAAATCATAAAAAGTCAAGCTCTGTCAAACTGTAAACAAGGTCTAATATCCAAGACAATGATTTTTTTTTAAACCTTAGTGTTGAAAAGCCAAGTGGTGACAAACAGCTTCATCAATTTCTGTTAAAGGCAGTGGGTTTTAAACCAAAAAAGTGCTATGATAGAATTTCAGTGCCTTGGGGATAAAAAGGCAGTATTAGTGGGCAGATATCAACACTGGGCTTTGTTCAGTGCAGGTTTTAGCTGCCTTCAAGGTGTTAAAGCAGCAGCCAATTTATCTGTTCACTGAAAATTAAAGCACAGACAAATCTGGAAACCAGATCACTGTCCAAACTATTAGGTCCTACAATGTGTTACAGGTTGGATATTGCTTTATTACCCAAATCAAATGCATTCTAATTTAACAGCAATTGTTCACAAACTTTAAGGCTATTTTCGTTCAAACACTCACAAAACCTAAATTCCAGTCATCTTTGTCATGTTCGGCTCTGTTCTTGCGTTTGATAGGTCTCCTATGAGGAGGCCTGTGCTCCCTCCCAAAAGGCTTGGCTTTATGAGTCAAAAACAAGTTTTCTGCACTACAAGATGAAGGCACTGGCTTTATGAATTCTATTGTGGGAGACAGCCTTGAGGTAGAAGGTAATGATTGTCTAGTGTTTATTAATGGGGGGCTATCACTGTTAACAGACGAGTATCCTGAACTGAGCTCCCCCGGAGGCTCTCTGAAAGCACATAATTCCGCAGATTCACTGGTGTTAAAATAAGCTTCATTTTTTGCTGTAGGTCTCCACGATCCTGGCAAGAACTGACCATCCATTAACTGGTCATCTTCACTGTCTTCGCTTGTAGCTTCACAACAGTGTTCGAAACTCCCAATGACAGCAGCCATATTCTCAACTTCATTGACACCACTGACTGCAACATACACATTAAAAAATGGTTTTCAGTTAGGCTTCTTGAAATTAGCCAAAATTAATTGCTTTAAACAAAATGCTCAACTGGTAGGTCTCATCTCTACTTGAATACAGGGTTTGTTTACCAACAATGTTACTTTAACCAGTTTCTCTTTCTTCTCCCCCACAAGAAAGAAAATTTGTAGAGGGGCAGAGTTCATTGCAGAGGTCTATGAATCTTCTATAGAGCTGAAGAAAATTACCTTTGGATTCCTCCAAGTTTAATTATGCTTGAATGTATACAGATACAACAATGCTCAATTAAAAACTGTGTTCAAGAGTTCCAGGACAGTCCTATACAACACCATTAAATAAAAATCAGGCTCAATATAGCACCTAGCTTTTCCATTAAACGCTATAGTAGAATATCAGTATCTATAGATCCATTGCCATACTACTGGTCTAGGTCAACATTCAGGTTCTGAAGTGCAGGCCTAAATGCTCTGGACTGATAAGTGCCTCACAGAATTATGTAGCACCCTAAACATTTTACAGTTGAGACTGTGGGTAGTATTGTAATTTTCCAGGCACTCTCACACAAAACACATTGAGTGGTGAATATTTCTTCGGGCAAGAGTTATTCCACAGAACTACATCTGACCTGAAACTGATGAATGCAGAAAAACTGGAAGAATGAGGTAGCCATCTAAGAGATCATGCATAGTATTAAACAGCAAGCAATGTTTTCATGAGTCAAAAATGAAAATCCAATATTGCCATAGTAATACAGACCTAAAAGACCCCAGAGACGAGAGAGTTCAGACACCCCCAAAAAAAGGGGACACTAGTAATCATTTAATGAAGTACAAATTAAAGACAGTCAGTATGGACTGGTTAAAAGGATGATTTGCTTAATTAGATTCTGACAATCACAAATTTAAAATTCAGATTCAATGAGCATTGCATGTTTGATGTTATGATGAGATCATATTTGGCAAATTGGTCAGAAAAGTAAAACCCATAAGATCAAGGAGAAGTGTCAATTTAGATTTGAAATTGGTACAATGATAGGAAGTACTTTTGCAACTGGATGACTATTCCCTGTTCATTGTTAGCTTCCTTGTTCCCTACCCCATCCTCCAAAGGGGATAACAAATGATAGTGATTATAAGTAAGTATGATTATGCAAGTTTTCATGTTAAAAATTGATTCCCTGGTTGACAGTGAAGAAGAAAGCTGTTGACTGTAGGATGATATCATTGCATTGATAGTTGGTGAAAA